TGTGTGTGTGTGTGTGTGTGTGGTTCTGCTATATGACCATTTCATTTTGTCCTGTGACAGTGACCTCTATTCCAATTCAGATACCTGTTTTCATGGCTGTATTCTGTCCCTCGTCACCATAGTACTAATCTCTGAAATATGGAATGCTGATAATCCTACTTACAGACTTGAGTCTCTAGTCCTTCTGGTTCTCAGCCTCACTGCTCCTTCTGTTTCAAGCTTACCTCTGGTCTTTCAATCTGTCTACTCGTCATATTTCAGATCACTTTTAACTTCACTTCAGAGTACTTATTTTTTTGTAATTTTTAAAAATTGAGACAAATTCACCTAACATAAAATCCACCATTTTAAAGGGTGGAGATTTTTAGTATAGTCACAGTGTTGTGCAACCATCACTAATATCTCATTCTAAGATATTTCCATCACCCCAAAAAGAAACCCTGTACCTGTTAGCAGTCATTCCCAATTTTCCCCTCCCTCTATCCTCTGGCAACCTAATCTACTTTCTGTCTTGTGGATTTGCCTATTCTGGAAATTTCGTATAAATGGAATCATGCAATATTTGGCTTTTTGTGACTGGCTTCTTTCACTTAATGTTTTTAAGGTTCATCCATATTGTAGCATGTGCTAGTACTTCCTTTTTAGTGATGAATAACATGCCATTGTATGGACATACCACATTTTATTTATTCATTCATCAGTTGGTGGACATTTGGGTTGTCTGTCTTTTTTGGCTATTATGGATAATGCTACGAGGAGCCCTTTCAATCTACTCTTAATTTCACTACATCATTATTTCTCTTCAGAGACCTTCATTTCCCTTCCATAACATCTACTCTGCAGAATGCTCACTGTCTTGTGTAATCATCTCTGTTATTTGCCCCATAGCTGGGCTATGAAGCCCTACAGGAAATGTTATACAACTGTTCAGTGCAACCAATTGATGGAGCTACACATTCCTGGAATTCTTGATAAAAAGCAATTTTTTCTAAAACCCAATTAGGTCCTCTTGTTCTCTTTAGCAGCTTTTC